TATACGTCCACAACAGACCTCTTTTCATTAACAAATTCTTCATTTTTCCGAAACAGCTACTTATATTTCCGGAAGAGTTAAGGTCGTAATTTGCCAAGTTGAGTAAAAAGATAAGGTGGTTGACTTAAGTGAGACATGTACTGCATAAACAGTTGTCACCTTTAGTTGAAACTCTTCAATAGCAGCTTAACAAAGCAAAAGTATACATTCATTTCTTATTTAATCGGTTACCGGTTTTTGTACAGACAACACAAACATACTATATGTCACTTCCTACTTAAAATTCGTTCTAAATGTTATTAACGATTTTACCCCTGAATTCAGTAAATTGCCGAAGAAATGGTCCCTTGCTGTAAATATCCATCTTTGAATAAAATATGTATAAAACTTTTACATAGTTTAGTTCTTTTTTTCTATATAGCATAGAACAAGTAAGCCCCAAATATGTAATTACCAAAATTTTTATGAAAAATTAATTAAATGCGTCTTAATCGTATGACTTATTTAACCAACAACTACTATGATCTTCTTATTGCCATTATACTATTTCCAGTGCTACTATTTACAATCTATCCAATAAACTTTAGGCAAGTCTGCCACAGATTCCATCAAAAACGCCTATAGGTCTATTGCTTTACTTTAGGTTCTTGTTTTTAATATGTCCGCCTTCATAGTTAGTTGCTTCATAGCTTTATCAGTTTAAACACATTTTCTTTCTTTGAGAACTTTTTGTGGCTCTAATAGTTCTTCGAGGTACTCAAAAAAAAATTTTTCCAGCATTGTAGGTTGACACAATTGTAAGTTTGCTCAGTTTAATATATATGATTGCACAGCTTGATAGTTTGTGCTCACCCTCTTGAGAAAGTCCCTAAACAACTTCAATTAAATCTCATAGTCTTTGTGAATGTGTGCCTATTAAGCAATGACAACTTACAAAAAATATAATATTGCAGACTTTAGTCCAATTAAAATTTATTAGTTTACTAGTCTCAGATGGATTTACGGATTGCCAAATTAATTAAGTCTATTTACAATTTCCCTCATTTTCTCACTTAATAGAGTTACTATCTGTGTTAATGATATACAAATATTACCCGAAAAGGTGTTTAAACAATCTTAACAGACTTGGTTAACTTACGTGATAGTTAACGTGTTATAGGATTTGTGAAGTTTTTCAAAATGTTTCAATACTCTATGTATTTTGCAGAAATCAAAAGCTTCTAAATCAATTAAAAGGAGAGTGAGTAAAGTAAAGAGTCTTAGAAAGAGTTGACCTTAATCACCCTGTAATTAAGAGACCCAGTTCTAATTAAGAGTTATTTGAAATCAATCTAACTTAATGAACTTAATTTTAATTTCAAGCAATGATCACCAAGTAATTTTGCGATAGAGTAATATCAGTTCGACGATCGAGTTATAAAAGTAATAGACTGTTTTAAATTTAAACCTCGTTTTTTGCGTATATGTTTTTCTTACTATTATCCCAGTTATGTATTCTGTGTATAATATATTAAAAAAAGGACTCTGTATCAGAGCCATATGACTCTTGTATAAAATAATACAACTTTCGGTTTTTGTGGATTCTCGTTTATAGCACTTTCAGTGTAGGAATGGTATTATTGGAGCGTTGCATTAGCTGTGATATTGCGGTGAAAAACACATGGCCATGTTGCATTACTATAATAATAATTTTTCTAGCTTATTTTTTTAAATAAAGCAAATAAACAAATATTGTGAGAATAGCTTAACACAATTAACTTAAAGAAGAGCTATTATTTTTTGGACAATAACAATTTTTCACTTCTCAAAAGTTACCTTAAATATTATTATAGCAACTTGCTATAAATTATTTATTAAGTCAAGGTCCTTATTATAGCTTAACTGTTCCAAAATTCATTACACTTTTACAAATTTGATAAAATTAATGAAGTTGGTTCCATAAAACTATTATAAAACTCTTTTTTCATACAGCCAATAAACTGTTATAATAATGGCATTCGTACAACAGTTATAGCACAAGTTATTTGTTGTGTTATTTTCTTAGCAAATCAGTGAAAAAATAGGTTCATGACTTGGCTAATTATCTACACGCACAGTTATAAAAGTATAACACTTCAGATTCTTCAAGCAAAACCTGTAATATTTTAATATAATACGGTCTTTACAATATTCTTTCACTTGCCCGTAATTTATAACAAAAACAAACATAACATTATTATTTGAAAGACCGTAATATTATGGTCTTTTTAATTAAAATCGGGCATAATAAAAGTTATTAATTTATTTAGATTTTTCAATTGACAAGTCCTTTTATTTGCTATTTAAAATAGAACTCAATAAAGAGCAATTAAATTTGCTTAATATTATATTTTCCAGAAATGATTATTATTACTTATATTTCACTTTTCCACACACAAATAACTTGTGCAATTGGCGTTTTATTTTAAGACGCAGAATTAGCTTAGAATTCCGGTTTATCGTGAGCTTCCAACTTTGACTCCGGAATTTTTTGTGTTTGGATTAGAGTATATTGTATATATATATTGGAATTTTAAGTGTTTGGATTAGAGTATATTATTTGATTTTATAAATGAGACAGGCTTTGCTATATCAACGATGGTCGCAGAATTATATTTTTGAAGACCATGAATATTATTATACGCTAGCAACATCATATAGTAAAGTTCAGGTTTTGATGGCTTGGAGAAAAACAATCAATTAAACAAAAAAAAAATTTATCGAACTAACTTCATAAAAGACAGTCCTAAAAATATGAAGTCTACACGGTACGAATAACACTTAATACTTTCTAAATTCGTAATTGAATGGTAGCACCAAATATAACATAATCGCCATAAAAAAACACTCTTTCTAGTTCGATTTCAATTTCAGTCGTATATAAATATGATACGTGGGCTGCATTTTATTGCCAGATGAATTTTGACATTTCTGTTCAAAAGTTAGATATATTTTAGCGTAAATGTCATTACCACGTTTTAGTTTACGCGCTCTTATTGTGTTGCTTACATTGATTCTAAACTGTGTCTCTGCAAAAAAATGAAATTAAATAATAAACATTTTCGTACGATGATTTTTTACGATTTTAGACAGAATGCATCGATGATCAACTTGGTTGTACATTTGGTGATAAAACACTTAATCCAGCGACTGTAGAACGCTGGTTAAATAAGATCGAGCGAGGTCGTGGTTTTCTTCAATATGAGTTTCGTGAAGGTCGTCCAAGAACGGCTATTGTACCAGAAACCATCGATGCAGTGCGAGAAACGATTGAAATGGATAGACATGTTACATACCGGAAGATAGAGGCGGCCTTGGGCATTAGTGGGACAAGCATGCATTTAATTTTACATATACTTTAAGCAGTCAGGAAGATTTGATCCTGGTGAATTCCCCATAATTTCACAATCGTTCAAAAGAAGGCATGTGTTGATTGATGCAAAGAAATGCTATCGAAGTACGACCGAGGTAGCTCAAAACACATCTTAAACAGTGAGTATTCCTTTAAAATAATGATTATTCACATATTTAAGAACCGCTCAGCACTTCAGCAGGTTAAAATCAGTATGGCGTTTTGTTATCAAAAATCAAAATTTAAGTTTTCAAGAGTGAAATAATGATGTCTCATATTGCAATCAATAGCGTGTCATCCCGAAAATGGATTTTAATTTATTATTAATTTTTCATTTCAGCTTTTATCTTTTTTACTCAACTGTGCACTAATGTTGTTTTTGTACTTGTACGTATGTGTATTCATATATTGAATAAAAAATATGATAAAACAGATTATTGCAATGCATCGACAAATTAAATTGCTCTGGTAAGTAATTTTGAGTTTCATTTCATTTGCCAAGCAAGCCAAAGACTTCATTTACAACACACAAAAAATAAACGAAAAACATAATTCACATTATTTGACGGCGAGTGAAAGCAAAAAAATTATGAACGCATCTCAAACAGAAATATGGAAACATTTGTCACTAATTGCCTGTGTCCAGGATAACATAAAAGCGAGATACCATTGTGACAAAACAACAGACAACATAAACACAAAAAAGGACATCCTTTGCATCCACAATGACACACCAACACAAGGTTCGAACACATACACACTTGCATACGCCTGGAATATGGATATTGGTTGTGCCCTCTTTTATTGTGGTTTTCGAAGGGGGTGCGGAACAACAACTAATGGGCCAGTGGCAAACAGGCGATACATTGAATTGAACTTCGGGTCAAAGGAACTGATAAAATGCAAAAAGGATACAGAAGTGAACAAATGTCCTTCTATGTAATAAAAAAATATGTGCAAAAAATTTAATAAAAAATTTATAAGCACACTTTTCGCTACATTAGTTAGTCACACTTTGAGTTTAAGCATTAAGCGAGCTTAGTTACTATATAGAACTCTGTCATTTCTCATCCCGCTCATCCCGCTCAGCCCATTCAACTGTATGAACTGGTTGTAAAGCGTTTCAGTGCCACTGCAGCTCAAAAAACGCCAAATTAAAAATAATGCAATTTAGTCAATTAATGTGCGAGTGCAGTGCATATTTTCGCGTTCCGCACAGTTTTTACACATTTTTTCGGGAATTAATAGCGAATTTATCTGCGCTTGTTAAATGTTGCGCTTTTTCAATAAAAACTGGAATATTTTATAAGTGAAAAAGTCCATTTCTGATCGGATTTACAGTGACTATTTCACCGTCGATTGCTCTGCTGAAATATGCGAAATCAAACGAAAATAATTTCATTAAAGCAGCTGCTGCAGTTTTTCCCTCAGTCCGGCATTATTCAAACTGCAAGGCAAAAAGGCTTATTTACTTTGCATTTATGGAAACCACCAATGCCAAAAAGGCCCGCTTTGTGATATTCATTAATCATGCTTTCTTCCTCTATGTTTAATTTTGTTTGGACAGTTGGATGTTCAAATATGATTTTTTTCCCTATTTTCAAACATATATTATATGTCTGCTATAATGTTTTTGTTTTAACAGAGAGGAAGTAATAAACCCATAAAATTGCTAAAGTCAATATTAAATAATGATACATATAGCTACTATATGTAATACCCAACTGTTCACCTTTACCTCTAGTGCTTAATGTTTGATGGACCAATTAGAACTAGAGTGACTTGTCCTAGCAGATTTAAAGTAGGGCGATCACTTAGAAAATTTTTTCCAAAAAACTAAAAAAATGAGACACAGGACATCTTTAAAGCACACAAAATAACTAATTCAACAAAGGAACCATGGGAAATCAGCAGGAGAATCGGTTCTGGCCTTATACCTTTCTAGTGTTTTATTGACAATGCAATCAACATCCATTTTCTGAGTCATCGCAGTGACCTAAAACCTGTTTTTTGTATGTTTTGCAGTGCTGTTTAATATTATTTTTCATTCTCTGATTATCTTTAAAGAAATAAGAAAAACTAGTAAACATTTATATTAAGCTAATAATATTAAATATTTACACAACATAAACATATGGAATTTTACTCAGCACTGTAAGGAAACAAATAGAGCACAACTAATTTTAAAAATATAATTTCAGAGTTTACAAATAAAATATAAATGACATTCCATGAATACGGAATCCAGTGCCTTTTAACGTGATTATCAGCCATGAAGAATTAACACCACGGTGCTCTTAATATACGTATCGATATAATGCAACAATAATGCAACAACTCCATTGAAATTTCAAGGAATTTCGCCGGTACCAATTCGAACTATAAATTTGATCATAGTTTAATACTTGTTTTAAAAATGCAACATCACATCGAATAATAGTAAATAAATACAATCTACCTGCGTAAATATAGGTTTTATTCACATCCATGACGATACTTAAATTAAAAGGGATAACCGCTAATGGTCAGTACAGCTGAAGTTGTGGTTCCTTACCCCGTGGCACCAGATTTAGACCTCCGATCAAGTGCTGTAAGTAAGATTCACTAACTATCATTTAGTCCAAAAAGTATCGGGTGATGCCTACTAGATTTTAGTTTCCTATTACCACAGGCATGCCTTAGCTAGGAAATATTCTATCCACTTTCCCACGGAAGACCCATTGCTGCAGAGCAATTTCGTAAATTCACACTGAAATGTCATTGTGACGGTTAACATTTTACCGCAATAATATCTTTTTATTTCTTGGATTGTTGGGCAACGCTCCATAGCATGTTCTTTGTCTCTTTTGTTACTTAGGATGCAGTTACTGTTGCTGTTTGCAATATACGGAAGATAGCTCGGTGAGCTTTCAGTGTTTTAGATTTTATGCCAATAGAATGTAGGTAGTAGCCCTAGTGTCGCTTTGGTAAGCTTGTCTTTCGAATTGTACTTTCTCTCTAATATTCACAATTTGTAAAAATTTTGCTTTCTATATATCCCAAGAACTTATTTTAAAAATTTTAATATCTATATTATGATCGGCTGCTACCAACTGCTTGAAAGAATTGAGATTTCATTTAAACTATAAATTTTGCAACTTTACCAGGTAATCTCCTTTAAGCAGTTCACATTATTTTAATTAATGTTTTGGAATTAGCATTTCAACTTAGGCAAAGTTAAACTAAATCTATTCTCTTGTTTTCATTTTAGTATAACGTACTAAGATGTTAGTTAAATAACATCACTTATATTAAATATATAAGTGTTTTAAATAAAATTTAATTATTTATTAATTAATTGAATTTTTGGTCACTCAAAAAGAGAAAAATAAAACATTAAATAAACATTTTATATTTTTAAAATAAAATTTTGGTTTCTTAATATAATTTACTATAATATAGTATATATAAATAGTTTGCAAATTAGCTTATAATATAGAATTCACTGTGTAGCTTGTACTATACGTGAATAGATATCTAAATGAATATAAGCTTTTCGCGATATGAACGAAAGTTCAAAATTAGATAAAATATATACTCCAAACCATAACTACTCCCGCAATAAGATTAGCGACAAACTTACATCACAGCTAATTAATTAATAATTTTTGCGAAATGCATTGTAAATAATTCCACATTAAAACTAGACACATTAAAACTGACCATGACGCATCATTTGTTTTCATCATAGTTGACACTATCAACAACACAAAAACTACCAAATGGACCAAAAGGACCAAGAGAACCAGGAGGATGACGAACGTAAAATGCGTTGGCTATTTCCGCTATTTGCAGCATATGGTGCAATTAATTGAAGTCAGCAACCAAGCCATTTGAATTCAAAAACAAATAAACTACAAAAATTAATTTAACACTTCCGCTGACGAAAATGCGGGATGGGGTGCCAATTTATATATCAGATTGGTACACTAAATCAAATATTGCCCACAACAAAAAAGTTCTGAATTAAGTGGCCAACTGAGCAGTCCTAAAGGACCATGCTGCCATGTGCAATAAATACAATTTAAAAAGGGAAATAGAAGGGACTCACACTTAAATAACAGAATGATTGCAATTTCTAAATATTAGCAAAATGTGATGTATATGTAATTAATTGGAAGGGACAACCATTCTGCGGTCCTTCGTGGCGCCTTTTCAAACTTAAAACTAATGAGTGGCTGGAAAGAGCAGCTCAGACTGATTGTGATAATACAATTGCATGCAGACAAGCCAAAGAATCCATGCCGTTTCGATCAAAAGCCAGAACTAGGGAGCTACTTATCCTGAACAGAAGTGGTATCCGACTTGACACAGGATTCCTCACTGGGCACTGCGGAGTTAAAAAGCATCTATCGAATCTAGGTATTACTAGAGACGATAGCTGCAGACTTTGTTGCGAAGAAGAGGAAACAGCAGAACACATTTTGTGTCACTGTGACAGTCTTGCCAGACTCAGACTTCGGTACTTATCCACTGCCTATCCGGATATAACGGAATTAGGCAACATCTCTCCAAAGGACATATTGGCATTCTTAACTGCTACTCGTCTATGGAACTGAAGTGGGTATATCACAATGATCCTCAAAGGATGCAGTGACGCGGTGATAAGTTCCCAACCCATTTTAAAAATCTAATCTAATCTAATATTTAATTTAATCTATAACTAAATCTGTAATCTTTAAAGAACAATAAACAATTATAACTTAGTAGCGGTATTCACCCTTTGACACAATGGGCGAATGTGTAGAATATGCAACTCTCGAAAAAATACTCACAACTTGCAGAATTACAAAAACAATATTTTATGAAAAATCACGCTTTCTAAAAAAAAAATTATATTTTACAAACTCAAAACGTAATATTAAACACAAATTCAGACGATCGAGTGTAGGCTAAAAACAACTGATCACCAGATTCTCTTATTTTCAGGAAAAGATCATTGTAAGATGACTTCTGGCTTAATTAAAAGTC